TCTTCATTGTCTTCATCATCATCATCTTCCTCGTACCCCGAACCCGCTTCCCTGTTGCGTGATTCTCCATTGATGGAGTCAAAGCACACGGTTGGGGTAGTGGTGGCTGCATCCCCTAGCATGGCATGCAGCTCTGCGTAAAAGCAGCATGTTTGCAGCTCTGCCCCAGACCTTCCGTTTGCCTCTCTGGCTTTGTGGTAGGCTTGCCGTAGCTCCTTAATTTTCACGCGGCACTGCTGTGCATCCCTGTTATGGCCTCTGTCCTTCATGGCCTTTGAGACTTTTTCTAATATTTTGCCATTTCATTTACTGCTACGGAGTTCAGCTATCACTGCTTCATCTCCCCATATGGCGAGCAGATCCCGTACCTCCCGTTCTGTCCATGCTGGAGCTCTTTTGCGATCCTGGGACTCCATCATTGTTATCTGTGCTGAGGAGCTCTGCGTGGTCACCTGTGCTCTCCATGCTGGGCAAACAGGAAATGAAATTCAAAAGTTTGCGGGGCTTTTCCTGTCTACCTGGTCAGTGCATCTGAGTTGAGAGTGCTGTCCAGAGCGGTCACAATGAAGCACTGTGGGATAGCTCCCAGAGGCCAATAACATTAAATTCCATCCCCACTACCCCAAATCCGACCGATTGCAGCAAAGGCCGATTTTTAGCGCTAATCCCCTCGTCGGAGGTGGAGTAAAGAAACCGGTTTAAAGGGCCCTTTAAATCGGGGAAAAAAAGGGCTTCGTCGTGTGGACGTGTCCAGGCTTAATTCGATTTAACGCTGCTAAATTCGACCTAAACTCGTAGTGTAGACCAGGCCTAGATGTATTAACTATTGCTATTCTCTGGCATTGGCCACTGTCAGAAGACAGGATACTGGGCTAGATCAATGGACCTTTGGTCTGACCCAGTATGGCCATTCTTATGTTCTAATGGAGATTGCTGGGTGTAGCTTATGTCACTAACTGTGTAAAGCACTTAAAGATTCATTACCCTTGAAGGCCCAATAAAAATGCAAGTAGTATAGCTCCATCATTAAGAAAACCTCTGCAGGCACTTCCCGGTTGAGGGCACCAGTACCAATTCCAGCAAATTCAGAGAGCCAATACGTTCCCTGATACCTCTGAGGTATCAACGTGGTCTGGAAGAGCCAGTGCAGTGCTTATTTTAGGAATGTTTCAGCAGATCTGAATACCAAGCAACTTGCAATATAACCAGCAAACTAACCCTCCATAGAAGTGAGCTGTTCCCAGCTCTAGTCCGGGATTGGTTTTGTGTCTGTGATGGTGTGAGACTCTCCACTGCGGCACCCCCTGCTGGATGTCCCAGGGATCAGCTCTGCTAGCTAGTGTGCTCTGTTCTGGTGGTATCTTGCCACAGTAACTTCTGCTCCAGGGACCCATGTCATTCCCAGGACTTCAGTGTCCTCTTCATGACACAGCCCTCCAGCTGTGGCGTACTCTGTGCTTCCCCCCTTCCAGGGGAGTTTCACATTTCCTTAGTCCAGCTACTTCCTCAGTAGTAAAGGGGGAGGAGACCCAGGCCTGCCCACTACTCCAGGTCCCGGCCCAGTGACCCTGTCGATGGCCACTGCTTGTAGCGCCCCCTCTGACTCCTCAGTAACTTTCCCTGGGCCACTTCCCCACGGCCCCAGCACCCTCTTTGCCCTTGCCTCAGGGCCTCAGCCTGCAGATCTCTGCAGCCCACCAGGCGCTGCCTTTAGCTCCCCAGGTCTCTGCCAGCAGCACTGCTCTGTCCAGGGTATGTGTTTGTCTTCAGCCTGCAAGGCAGCCAGTGACTGAAGCTGCTCTGTTCTGCAGCCCTTCTTATATGGGTCAGCCCAGCCCTGATTGGCTGCTCCTCGCAGCCCCTCTCTGATTGACAGCCTCCTCAGGGGCTCTCTTAACCCCTTAGAGCCCAGTGTGGGGCAGGCACCCCATCACACTCTGCTACCGAGAGATGGCAGGACTTTGCCATGTTTGGGCAGGATATGCTGGTACCAATTTGCTGAGTATCTCCACCAGTGCCCTCCCTGCTATACTTATTAAAGGTTCACCCACTTCCCAGTTGATTGCCATTTTCTGATGCCAAACCTCCTTGCAGGGTTGGGCCCTGGGCTCCCTGTGCCTGAACCAATTCTGCTGCCTGATGTCAAACATCCCCAACAGTGCTATCACGCTGTCTATAGGAGGGGAAAAGATGCTGCAGGAAAGCGTTGGCTGGAAGGCACTTGGAGCTCAGTGTCTGCCTGCTGTCTTGTGCCCACGCCCAGCAGTGGAGCTGGTGTGTTTACAAGGCCTGTTTGCAACACTTGTGCGGAGTTACGGTAAGTCAGGGCCTGTTGAACCGGTGCAGCCTACAACGGTTTCTGCCCACTGCACAGGAAGTTACAGGTACTACAGCTATACCAGTTCAGCTAGTTGTCCTAACCCCACCCACAGTACTGTGCCTTGGAAATAATCTCCCCCTCCCTGAACTGGGCTTCAGCCCTTCCGGAATGCCCTGGTACACCTGCAGCTGGAAGGCATCCTGGGGGTGTGGCTCTGCCATGGTGGAGGTGTAACCATAAAAACAGGGCCAGGAGAACCCAGGCCCTCAGCCCTTATGTATAATCAAGGCACTCAGCTATTATGTACAGCAGCTTCCCTTGCTTGATTTTAGACACCCCCTGTGCACTTCGGTGGCAAGGGCAGGGCCGGTTCCAGGCACCAGCCGGGGCGGCAGCTTGTAGGAGGTGGCATTCTGCCCAATCCTAGGGTGGCATGGCCGCTTTTTTTTTTGGGGTGGTGTTCTGCTCCGGCCGCCCTGTAGGGAACAGTGGCGCGGAGGATGGGAGCGCCCTGCAGCAAGCCTGGCAGGGCAGCCCGCGTCCTTCCCTCCCAGCCGACCAGAGTGGTGCGGAGCCCTCCCAGCAAGGGGCACGGCGGGAGGGGCCGCGTGGCAGCGCCCCGCTGAAGCCCTGGCCGCCCCCCTTCTCTCTCTCCCCCCCCCACTCCCTCCCCCTCCCCCCACTAGCCGGGGCACATCTGCAGCGCAGGGAGTCCCCCTGCACCCTGGCTACAGCCGTGCCGCAGGAGTGGTGTGTGGTTTTTTTTTTGCTTGGGGAGGCCAGAAAGCCAGAGTCAGCCCTGGGCAAGGGGGTAATGCTCCTGTGGAAGAATGGGGCCAAGATCTGTTTGGCTCACAAGCCAAAAAACAAGCTTGTGTTTCCTTCCTAAATAAGGACCTTGTCACCTTCTGTTTGCATGGCATCTACCAGAATAGGATCTCAATGTGGACTGGACTTCTAGGCCTTACAAGAGCATAAAAATGTGCATTAACAATTCCTTGTCCCTGTCTGGTCTATGGCCGTATTACAAAACCACCGCAGCTGCCCAGAAAGGCCTACAACTTCATCAGCACTGGTTGATACAGGTCAGGACCTGAGGTGCTTTGGCACAGTGATATAAGGTGCTGATCACTAATCACGCTGCGCCCTAGGTGCTTGAATGAAATCCTCTGTATTCTGTCATGAGGTTCCAACTGCCTCCATCTACCAGGACAGGGACTGCTGCAACCTCCCTCCCCCAGACTTCCTGTGGGAGAAGCTAAACCAATTAAAAGGACCGTTCCCAATACTGCAGACCTGGAACTTCCCTCTGCTCTCAGTCCTTTGCTTCCATAACCGCTAAATATACCTGCAATTTTACCAAAGTCAAAACTAGATTTCACAGAACAGGGAAACTGCTGCATCAGCCACAGGTGAGAAGGCCAAAGACTAAAGATCTCTCATGAAAAGAACTGCTGCCACCTTTCTCCTCCGGGTCTCCTACCGCTCCCTGCAGCAGATGAGGGATACTAGCCAAAGGAAAGAAATATTTATCTAGCCCTGAAGAGAAGGGTAAGTACGGCAGAAGGGGGCATAATTAAGAGGAAAATAGTGTTGGGTAGATTGGGGAGGGGGGGTCTTGCTTTATCCCTGGTTCCATCACCGATTCACGGTGGGGAACTCATCAAATCCTCAAAGATAGATATAGATGACATGGAAATCAATAGGAGTTAGGGCCCTAAATACCTTTTGAGGAGCTGGGTCTAAGGGCCTGGTTCTACCAACCTTTGCTCTGACTGAGCCATACCGTCCTTTGCGAGTAGTTGGAGTCTCTATGGGGTTCAGTGGGAATTCAGTGTGAGCAAGAGACAGACTGACCCATACCAGAGGTGGGCAGAGGGCAAAGCAGGAACCTCCCTCTTTTCAGGTGTGCGCCACTCAAGGCCAAGGAACAATTTCAGGCCCGTCCTTCCATGTGCTCCCAGTGGTGTAAATCACCCACAGGGCATGAGGAAGAGGAGGCATGGCCTTCTTCCCCATGCACTGGCTTGCTGTGCCAGGGGAGCAAGTTGCTCCGTTCCAAGGGATCATGTTGCTCCGACGCAGGCCTGGGCACAGACAGCACCGTGTACCCTTTAACCTCTCGGCACTTCACTTTTCACAGCTGAGACTGAGGGTAATACAAACCTCCCGGGGACGACGTGAGGCTGAATGGAGGCTGAGTGCTTAGCAATCCTTCACTACAGACGGCAAAATAATACCCTAGTGAGAAGTTCTTTGTAACCATGTGTATTGCGGTGGCTTCCAGAGGCCCCAATCACCTTTCTTTGTCTTGAACTCTTTCCAAACGCCTGTGTAGTGGCTGTTCATACAGAATCCAGCCCCAGTATTTGTACATAAGGAGGCCATACTGGGTCAGACCAATGGTCCATCTAGCCCCATGTTCTGTCTTCCAACAGTGGCCAGTGGCAGGTGCTTCAGAGGGACTGAACAGAACAGGCAATCATCAAGTGATCAATCCCCTGTGGCCCATTCCTGCTTCTGGCAAACAGAGGCTAGGGACACCATCCCTGCCCATCCTGGCTAATAGCCATTGATCCTCCATGAACTTATCTAGTTCTTTTTTGAACCTGTTATGTTCTTGGCCTTCACAACATCCTCTGGCAAAGAGTTCCACAGGTTGACAGTGCACTGTGTGAAGAAATACTTCCTTTTGTTTGTCTTAAACCTGCTGTATTAATACTCAGCATTCACTGGGGCTCACAAAGGGAAAGGCTTCCTCTTTCAAGCAGTACACGCGGAAGTCTTGTTTGTTAACCAAAACATTACATCAATATCTTTACCAGTTGCCCCCTAGCTCAAAGGCAGCACCACTCTCTGGCTAACCATTCAGCACAGGGCCAGGTCCCTATTCTTGCCGCTGAAAACGACTCCAGGAACTGCACACCAGAGCATGGTTTGCTGTTCTCTCCGATCAGTGCCACGCCCTAACCTAGCTGGCAAAGAGCGCTCGGCTGAGATGCTTGTAATTCTTTGCACCAATTCTGAGATTAGCCCTGTTTCTCTTTCCCCCCACACGCAGTGCATGGGACAGGCGCTTCCTGCCGCTGGAGCGGAAAGGTGTTTATAGGGCCATTCTCTTGTCAAGAGACTTACTTTAAAAGAGGGCTCAATCCAAGATTGGATCCAGCTAGGAAGAAAAACTGCAGGGGCGTTTTGTTGAGTGTGTTGTGGAGAGACACAGAAACATTTTAGTAACTTAAAGGCCAGCAGATCAGGAATTTCTACCTCTGCACTCCCAACTGTCATGTGACTGATTGATTAGACGTGAAAATATTCTGGGAGGAGAGCAGCCCAGGAAAGCATGTCCAGCTACCTGACTATTTTTTTTGTATTTCTGCCCCCTCTGTGCCTGTACAACTTTCAAAAAGTATTTTTGGTAGTACATATTTTCCCTCATTCCTTCTAGTTTTACCCCTTGAATAGCAAGAGGCCTGAGTCTCCACTGACTTGTATAAATTTTAACCCAAGATACCTGTAGAAAGTGGGTACAAAATGCAATCACATGGGACTGAGCATGCTTTGCACCCTCTTTGAGCAATTGACAGCACAAGGTCCAAGGTGGGAGAATCAGGCCCTAAATGCCTTAAAAATCTCCCCTTTGGGTGGATTTTCAGATTTCCTTCCATTTTTAAGACACGCAATTTAGACTGTAAGCTTCTCAGATCAGGGATTGGCTCTTACTAGGTGTTTGTGCAGCACCTGGCCCAATAATATCTTGTCATCCATAGGTCTCAAAGCACTTTACAAAGGAGGTCAGTATCATTAGCCCCATTTTACAGATAGGGAAATCGAGGCACAGAGAGATGACATGACTTGTCCGAGGTCACCCAGCAGCCAAGTGGCAGAAAAGGGAATAGAACGCAGCTCTCCCAAGTCCCAGTCCAGGGCTCTATTCACTAGGCATCACTGCCTCTAAATGGGATTTTTATCTGCATGGGGACCCCTAGGTGCCATTGTAATACAAATTATAAAAAGCTGGGGCCTTCTGTACCCCTGTGCAGAGTCTTTTGGGGAGTACAGAGCCTCCACAGTATACTCTGTTGCTCAAGGAAGGATTATGTTACCAAGGCCAATTTACACTAGCTCTGTCTAAGAACCAGGGGGGAAATCCTGGCCCTGTTGAAGTCAATGGCAAAAGTCTCATTGACTTCAGTGGGATCAGAATTGCATCCTATGGCTCCTCCTAAACCAATCTATAACCTTCTTTGACCTAGCGGTGAACATCATTTTAAAAAAACTACTACTTTTGGAACCATTTTAATCCCACATCCACACCCGCTGCACCATCCATTTTATTAACTGGCTTAGCAGGAGCCAGGTTTTAAATTGTATTACACGTGGCTACCGTGCCTGTCTGTTTTACTTATGGTGCTTCAGAAACACTGACTCCAGCTTCTCAATGCTCCTCGGAGTTGGGGTTGCCACCCGTTCTGGTTTTAAGGGGTGCTATTTACCTGGTGCTGTATGCCCCATGATCGTTATTAAGAAGCAGCTGATCAGAGGAGAGTATGTTTTCCAGCAGTGAAGTAAAGGATCAGATGCTGTGATAGAAACGTATGATTTTGTAGCGTACATAACACATTGTGGGTGACGGCCCTTTAAAAGGGAGGCTTGGTCTATATATTCACCTCTGGTCTTGCCTTGATAAGTAGTATGGCTGCTGTACCTGTGAGAAAGCAGGAGCATTACCCCCATTTTGAGAGGCTGGATTGCTTGTCTAAGTTCACCTAGTGAGTCTGGTAGAGCTGGGAACACAACTCAGAACCTCCTGCTTCCTTTTCCTTATGTAATTGAACTACGTGATCGAAAGGTGCAAAGGCACCGGTATTGCTACCTAACTGGGAAGTTGCTTTCCCTTTCCTCCTTTCAATAGATGATGTTACTAATTGGTAGGGAAGATAATTACAAGCTTAGAACTGACATTTAATCAACTGTACCGGAGTGGCTGGATTCATCCTGTTTTAAGCTAATGATGAGGCAGGATTCTTCCCCTCTACCGAAGAGAAACCCGTGTCTGACTGTGCCAGACAGCGTGTGTAGAAGAACATTCCTCTGAAAAGCAGGGCGGGGTCGCCAGCTCTCCCTCCAGGGCTCTGCTCTTTCCACAAACTGGTTTTTCTAGTCATTTTTAAAACCAGGCTCCATCCCTGCTTCTGGATCACTGGTTGCTTGGGGAGGAGCCACCCAGAAACTGCTCTTTTAACCTGCATCAGCCCTTCCCAGCTGGAGCCTGTCATTCCATCTCAGCAGACTAGAGCAGAGAGGCTGTGCCCTGAAAAGCTTTGTGGACGCCAGGAAGGGAACTAAATTCCTGCCAAGATGTTCAAGGGAGTGGGCAAGGGCTCCCCAAGCAAACCGCCTCCGATCAAGCAAACCAAGTAAGTGTGACTCCTGGATCCTCTCCGAGCTCTGATGGGGTTAGAGCACGGATGGGAGAAAAGGTATCCAGGGAAGAGGTGGTCTCTGAATAAACGAGGATGTGCAGAATAGCGCAGAGGGAAGATCTTCCTGCTGAGACCTGAACAACCAAGGTTCTCTTTGGGAATTGCCCAGAGACAACCAAAATCTCCCCTCCCTCCATCGGTTGTGCACTGATTGTCTCCCTGGCACTCCACCCCAGAGGTAGCTGCATGGTTCCTGTCTGAATACCATCTAGTTTGTAAAGCTCTAGATACATGTGAGATATTGCAGTGATTAGCCACCTGGACTAGGGAGGCATGACCTTAATTCAGGTAAGCGGATGGAAGGCTGTAGTGCAAGAGGCAGCATCTGGACATGGTTGTTGCCTGTTTCCAAGAGATGTTCTCAGGCAGACGAACTTCAGCTTATCAAGGTTTAGCTGGACTGTTAATAGCTCAGTGTAGCATTTTCAGTGTCTCCAGACTGTATATCCCAATCGGTAGGTGGCGGGTGCTGGGGTGATGTTGCCTTACGTGCTGAGATGGACCTAGAAGAGAACGTTAAAACCTTCAGGAAAGGAACCCAAACCAAAGGGTCCAGCTGGCCCTAAGCTCAGAGTTCCCCTGCTCTTGGCGGAATGAAACAGGAGGTGGATGGGCTGGGCTGTAAATTCATCCTGGCTACAGGCATGTAATAGGGTGGCAGAGGTTGCTTCTTGGCGGACCACGCATGGATTAGGTCCTGGGGGCTGTAAGAGGCTGTTTCACTCTGAAGAGTGGTGTTGTGGCACTCATCTGTCAGTGTGATGTGAGGGTTGAGACATAGAGGCAAAGAAACGTCCCTCCGGGGTCTTTAAGCTGGAAGCCAGAGGGCTCCTGATAGGGACAGGCTTCCCTGGGCATCCTTGATAGGGAGGCCTTGTAAAGAGAGCCGTTTCTCCTACTCATACGGCAGACCCCACCTCAGGGTTATTTGCCACTCTCCTCCCTCTCTGTCATGTTTTCTCAGAATCCTATTCCAGATGCTGGGATTTGTTTTAAACACCGCTCCCAGCCTGGCCATAGGGGAGGAAGCACAAAGCACAAAGTTTGCCCAAGAAGGGGCCTGACCAGAAAAACTGATCTGCAGAGTGGGGGCGCTGAGAGCCAAGGTTAGCGGGTTGTCCCATCTACATGCCAATAACTACAGTGTTTAAAGCAGCTGTTAAATTTGGTTGTACCCTGATTCAACTGGCCAGTGTGTATGGGCCCCAAATCTCCTATAACCAGGTTAAAGAAACAGGCACTTAACTAAATTCTACATTTGCAAATGTGCTGTCTCACATTAGCCCCCTGCTCCATCGCTCGGCACCTACCGCAACCGCTCAAGGGCTTGTCTACACTGGCACTTTACAGTGCTGCAACTTTCTTGCTCGGGGGTGTGAAAAAACACCCCCCTGAGCGAGACAGTTGCAGGGCTGTAAAGTGCCAGTGCACCAGCACTGAGAGCTGTGCCCCTCGTGGAGGTGGGGTTTTTTGAGCGCTGAGAGAGCTCTCTCCCAGCACTCTGCCGTGACTACACAAGCCGTGTTAAAGCGTTGCCGCAGCAGGGCTTTAACATTGCCAGTGTAGACTGGCCCTGAGTCTCTGAGGGGCCTAGCGCCCACAACTAATAGTGAAGACAATGGAGGCTGCAGACTCTCAGCCCTGCTGTAGCTCAGGTTCCTTTGGGGCCTAGCTCTGCAGTGAGATCCCTACCCAGAGGCCCCCAGCTTGAGTATTTTAGCCTAAATTTCTACCGTCTTTTTTTCTCAACCTGTTTATGAAGCAATTTGGCCTTGGCTTTGTCCATGTCGGCCAGACCAGGCTCTAGTGAAACCTCTGAAATGTGATTTAAACAATACCTGTCAGCTGGGCACTTCTGCTGTTAAAGCTTTTCCAGACCTATTTTAATGTCTCATTTTGAGATTGCTCCTATATTCCCCAGTAAGAAACTCTGGGCCACACGGTGCCCAGCTGCAACTCCGCTGAGGTAACGAGTCACGCCAAGGACTCTGCCCTGCCTCCTGAGCTGAGTGGGGTGGTGGGGCATGCAACCATTCTCAGGACAGTCTCTCTCCTCCTCAGAAGATCAAGCCAGGCTGCTCAGGGGTTTATTTAGGGGCACCAGCCTATTGATACATAATAATGCCTGGCACCTCCAAAGTGTTTTACAAACGTTAACTAATCCCGCCTCAGCCTGTGGGGTTGGTCAGTATCGTCCCTCTGTCTGAGATGAAGAAACTAAGGGAGAGAGGTCAAATTGCTTGTCCTATGTCCTGGTGAGAGTTAAGTGGCTCCTGGTTCCCATCCCTGTGCTTAGCCCACTCAGAGCATCCAGGGGAGGCCTGGTGCTGTATATGCGACCAACCACATTCAAACACAGAAGGCGGTAGAATTGAATCTGGTCTGGTAGAGCTTGCTGCCATGGGTGCGGGGAATTGGTAGGTTTTTCAGGTATCTACCAACGTGTCCTGGGTGTTAACAGACTGATTTCCTGGGTATCCTGTTCCTCTGCCTTTCTGGAGTAGCCACATTTGAACAAGAAGAATGATATGGTACTAAGGCAGAACCTATGGAGGGTTTGCAGGACTGGGCTATCAATTGTAGCAGGATGCAGCAGGCAGAGGCCTATGCAGTGTGCAGGAGAATTAGATGGATGAGAGGCTCCTATTCATACCAACATGCTAAGCACTGAGCAGGCTTGGGAGCTCTCCAGCGTCCATCCCTTCCTTTGATCCTGATTCAGAATGAAGCAGATTAGCAGAAGCTTTCACTTGGGACTACAAGAAAAATGGCCCAGTGTTAGGGGGAATTAATAGGAGAATTTGGGGGAGGGAAATAGGAATGGTGCTTGTAGCCCTATTAAAGTGCATCAGGACAGATTAAAGGAAGAGCGGGGAAATGATCATGTTTGTGCTAGAAAGAAAAAGACACTATCCCATCGGGACAATTGGCCTCCTTAGCCGAAGGGATGTGTCCTAGGGCATAAACCAAAGAATAATTAGAATAGTGCTTGATCCTTTGAAAGCATTAATCCTTGCCATCCCATGTGAGGGGGGAATATTAGTATCCTCTCTCACTGATGAGGAAATAAACCTCTGCCAACAGGAACACTGGTGCATCCCTATTGCAATCAACATGGTTGCACCTGAGTAAAAAAGTTAGACTCCAACCACATGAGATCAAATGACTTGTCCAGGACTACACTCTTAGGTTCCTGCCTCCTACTATCCTGCTCCATTCGTTAGTCCAAGTCATGTCTCTCCAGGCTAAAACAGTCCATGCCTTAGCTCTTCAACATGAGGACCCTCGCTTCCAGACTTCCCTCCACGTGGACCATAAATGCTAGGCTCTATATGGCGGGGGGGCAAGACTGCCCCCAGGATAGTCGATCCTCCAGGCTTCATCTGTAGTCAGAAGATATTGACAAAATGGAAGCAGGGGAGAAGAGAGCACCCGGAACTGTCAGAGGGGCTGGAGGGACTGACTTCTGGGGAAAGGCTGAGTTATGCAGCGAATCAGTCAGCCAGGAGTGTGTAGCAGTATAACATCCTGGGATCTGAAAGGGGTAATCACCACAGATGGAGCAGAATTGGCATTGCCTTTCTGTAAGATGTAATAGTTTAGTAGAACGATCTGTCAAGGGAAGGGCTGCATAGCAGGGGATTATCTGCCCTGATGTCAGGCCTATCCACTGCTTCAGTGTCCCTTTCTTGGGGTCCCCGATCACAGCCCATATCCTACAAGTACTGGGTTTTGTGCTGTTAAAATAACAGGTAAGTGTCTATCCAGACTCTATAGTTCATGCAGCCCCTTGTTGAGCTCAATAGTTCCTTTCCAAAAGCCAGGTCCTGCTGCCTGGTGTTGCCTAAAGCCTCTTCCCCTTAAGACATCTGTCTGCCCCTGCTCCTCATGGCAGGTGACTCCAGCCAGCCCTTTCTCTCTGGCTGGGGTGGAGAGCCCCCTTCCCAGGTCCTCTCTCACCCCAAATCCCCCGCTGTAGCCTTCCTATTCCCTGCAAATTTGTGTTCCTATGATTGAGCAGGAGGTCTCTCTCATGGGATGCAGCACCTCTTCTCTGAAGATCAGGTGATCTCCCATCTACCACCTGATTCCGGGCCTCAAATGCCATCAACTGCAGAAGCAGTCTAGACCTGGCACAGGCGAGGCTGAGCCCCAAGGTCCTTGGCTTTGGGACATTAAACTGAAGACTGTACAAAGTCCTTTCACATACACTGTAGGGAATAGTTCTGCTATGTGGGGGCGGGGAGGCAGTTGGACTAGATGAATGGCTGGGTCTCTAATTTCCATTATTCTGGCTTGGTGGTCCCCCCCAAGGAAGGATGGCTTTTGGATATCTCCTCTCCTGTTTTCCTGAATGCACACAAGGAAATAATACTCCATGACCCCGAGAATAAAATGTCCCAGTGATTCGGCCAGCCCTCACAGTCCATGAGCAAATTATAGCTTCTAATGAAAGGTAAACTTCAAATCTGGATGGGAACTTCTCTCTAGTTTGGGATAGCGGGGTGGCATTCAGGCATATGGTGTTGGTTTGGCCCATTGTATCGAGACGGGTCAGTACAAATTCTGGATCCAAATCCAGACTCTCCCAAACCTCAAGGCTGTTCAGCTGTGGGAGCTTAGTCCAGGCCCATCTTGAGGGCTATTATTCAGGACAGTGGTGACTTTCCCCTGCCCATATCAGCTGGCTCAGAAATGCAAAAGCGGAACTTGGAACAAGTGAATTCATTCACTGCGCTGTCTCGGCATGAAGCAAGGCAGTGAGTCATGGTCCCCTCCCTGAGCAGAGAGCCAGGGCAGGAATCCTGGGTGGTGCTCAAGTGTTTGCTCTCAGAGCTCCTCCTCATTCCAGAGAAGGGGAGCTGCCAGGGGTGTCAGTGAAGAGTGAGGATCTCGTGTAATGGACTGAAAAATGAAAAAACAGTCTGGTAGGTACATGCACTGACTAAGCAGGAAACAGGGACAGGCTCCTGGCTGGTTGCTCCTTTAAAGTCCCCCTCAGCCCCTACTGTCTAGCCAGGTGCACAGGACAGGCCCACGGTTGCACCTTCCACAATTTATCCCAGGGTTCTGCAATTTATCCCGCGAATCTCACTACCACAGACACGCTGTGCATGTATTCTCTGTGTACGTGTGTATCACATGGTGGTGAGATCCGCATGACAAAGTGCACTTCCCACCTGGGAAGCAGGGCTGATCTACACAGAGAATAACACCACTTTACAGCTTTCCAAGAGCTTTGCACACACAGTCTTCACAATCCCCTGGTGAGCCAGCTCAGGCTGATTTTCCCCCTTTTACAGAAGGGGAAACTGAGGCTGTGAGGTGCCATGACTCTTGCCCAAAACCACTGAGGGAATCAGCAGCTGCTGATTCTCAGGCCGATGCTGAAAACCGCGAACTATGTCACACTCTTGAGAAATAAAAAGAAGGGGTGAAGCAAACAGATTGAGTGAGAAATGAGAAAGTTGGTGTGAATTGAGCATGAGCTAGAAAGGCATCTTGGAGTGGCCACATAGCTGTAGCTCTGTGGAGCACTTAAATGAAAGTGTGGGGCCCCTCCCAGGCAGCGTTCTTGTTCTAATCCTGTATTCATTGATTTATAGTTTCAGTAATGACAGGCGTGTCTGAGCATATGAATGAGTGTGTGCCTCTGGCTGATTGTGTGAGTGCGTATCTGTCGCTGTATGTGTGTAGGTGTCTAATGCATGTTATTGCATGTGCTTCTCAGACAGATCCACATCTCTGACTGCAGCAATGTATGTTCCTGTGTATTGGCGTGGGTGCACGTCTGAATGAATCTAGTTACCTGGAAGTATGTTTCTATTATGTTTTTGTGTCACCTTTGGGCCGAATGCAGCTCTGGTGTAAGCAGGTACAACTCCCACAAAAGAATCATAGAATATCAGGGTTGAAAGGGACCTCAGGAGGTCATCTAGTCCAACCCCCTGCTCAAAGCAGGACCAATCCCCAACTAAATCATCCCAGCCAGGGCTTTGTCAAGCCTAATCTTAAAAACCTCTAAGGAAGGAGATTCCACCACCTCCCTAGGTAACGCATTCCAGTGCTTCCCCACCCTCCTAGTGGAAAACGTTTTTCCTAATATCCAACCTAAACCTCCCTCACTGCAACTTGAGACCATTACTCCTTGTTCTGTCGTCTGCTACCACTGAGAACAACCTAGCTCCATCCTCTTTGGAACTCCCTTTCAATTAGTTGAAAGCAGCTATCAAATCCCCCCTCATTCTTCTCTTCTGCAGACTAAACAATCCCAGTTCCCTCAGCCTCTCCTCATAAGTCATGTGCTCCAGCCCCTCAATCATTTTTGTTGCCCTCCGTTGGCCTCTTTCCAATTTTTCCACATCCTTCTTGTAGTGTGGAGCCCAAAACTAGACACAATACTCTAGATGAGGCCTCACCAATGTCGAACAGAGAGTGAATGATCACGTCCCTCGATCTGCTGACAATGCCCCTACTTATACCGCCCAAAATGCCGTTAGCTTTCTTGGCAACAAGGGCACATTGTTGACTCATAGCCAGGGCCGGCTCCAGGCACCAGCTGAGCAAGCTGGTGCTTGGGGTGGCAGATTGTTGGAGGCGGCATTCTGCCCAATCCTAGGGCGGCACGGCCACTTTTTTTTGTTTGTTTTTGGGGTTTTTTGTTCTTGTTCCGCTCCGGCTGCCCTGTAGGGGGCGGCGGTGCGGAGAACCAGAGCGCCCTGCAGGGCACTCCTCTTCCTTCCCTCCCCGCCGACTGGAGCGGAGCCCTCGCGGCAGGAGGCGGCGCAGCGGGAGGGGCTGCGTGGCAGCGCCCCTGCTGTAGCCCTGGCCGCCCCCTTTTCTCCCCCTCCCCCCCCCCGCCGGTCCCCCTGCACCCGCGCTCCGGCCACGCCGCAGGTTTTTTTTTTTTGCTTGGGGTGGCCAAAAAGCCAGAGCCAGCCCTGCTCGTAGCCAGCTTCTCGTCCGCTGTAACCCATAGGTCCTTTTCTGCAGAACTGCTGCCTAGCCACTCGGTCCCTAGTCTGTAGAAGTGCATGGGATTCTTCCGTCCTAAGTGCAGGACTCTGCACTTGTCCTTGTTGAACCTCATCAGATTTCTTTTGGCCCAATCCTCTAATTTGTCTAGGTCCCTCTGTATCCTATCCCTACCCTCCAACGTATCTACCAATCCTCCCAGTTTAGTGTCATCTGCAAACTTACTGAGGGTGCAGTCCACACCATCCTCTAGATCATTAATGAAGATATTGAACAAAACCGGCCCCAGGACCGACCCTTGGGGCACTCCGCTTGATACCGGCTGCCAACTAGACACGTTTTTGGTCCAGATTCATTGGTGAGGTGTATTACATGTTGGGTGCAAGTTAGCCAATAAACAGATGTAACTAGCCACGAAAGGTAACTTACATCTATAGGGCCGAACTTTCCCCATGCTCCTCATTTGTGTGTGTCTCCCCACCCTCACCCCTATACAAGGCTTTATGCAGATTGTGCCGTCCCCAGCCCTTAAGAAGCAGCCCCCTAATTTGACTTGTGCAGTCCTCTTAGTTGTTTTTCCAACTACACCAACCATTCCATTTCTTTGAGTGAAAGTTAAGTTCATTTTCAGCACCCACTGAGTGCCAGATCACTGCTGCTTATGGTACTGGAGTTCTATTTTCTGACCAGTAAGCTGACATATAATTGACCATTCACATCACTGCCAATTTTGGCCCCGTGTGTGTACAGCTAGTAGTACATAAGTGCACAAAAATGCATGTGTGTCTCTGAACAAAGCTTGTGTTTGTATATCTGACACGTGAATCTTATATGTTTCTGTAAGTGCATATCTGCGTATTCATGGTGCAGCTCTCTGCCTGTCGGTGGCACCATCTCTACCCTGGAGGTGAAGCAGGTGTTCACCTAGGGCAGAAACTATCAGAAGCAGCAAAATACTCAGTAACTGTGGATGGCTGCAGGGCTGGGAGGGACAGGTATTTATTGGCTTGCCAAGGACAGCAGAGCCAGCTCTGCCTGGATGGGTACCATACAGTACCATGCAAGGGCGCTGTATAATGCAAAGGCAACAGTGCCTGAATGCATTCCCAGGGATTTCACATTAAATGTTATGGGATAGGGAACGTGAAAGTAATAAATGGAAATCGGATGGCAGTGAAATCTGCTTATCATGAGCGACAATCTGAAGGAAGCCCAGCAGGGAGGTCTGGCTATAGACACAAGGGACCAGGTTCACTACTGCACGACTCCAGTTATACACCGGTGGAACTGCACTGAAAACAGCTGGGTTCCATCAGCTGGAGTGATGCAGTGGCGAATGGTGCACAAGGATCCAAAAGGTGGCATTACCACAGCTGGTGATGTGACATGTGTAGGAGATTGCAACTGCCCTAGCAAGAATCCAGGGAAATGGCAGGGGCCTTGCTTGTCCCAACAGAGCAAATTTATGGCATTGTTAACTCTCTGATTCCGAGAGTCTGAATCTCACCGCACCAAGAGCTGCTGTAAAACACACCAGCAGCACTTTGAGTGCAAAAAGCCCTCAAAAGAGACAGCGGAGGAGGAAAATGGAACAAGACTGTTCGTGCGCAATGTTGAACTAAACCTGGGACTGCATGGACCACTCCCCTTTGCTGTCTTGTAGACCTCAGTTTCCTGGCGCCTGCGAGAACCAGATGGTAACGGGCCTGATGAACCAACATCCATGTGGCTATTTAGAAGGGCTCCAGGTAGTGAGTGAGACCCACCTCTGCGAGTGTGGTTTGCTTTTATCCATCTGCCTGTTTCTACTTCCCTTCAGGTCCTCGGCCAATGAACTGGCCATGCTCGTCTCCCGCATGCAGAAGAATGCCGACCAGGTGGAAAAGGACATTCTGGAAACACAGTCCAAGCTCAAGCAGGTAACTGCTGGGCAAAGAGCAGGGGGTGGCAATGTGGGCATGAGACAAAGGTGCTGGTGGGGAAGTAAGGACATCAGCATTTGGCCATGTGTAGCAAGCCAGCGAAATGCCACAAAATGCGGTACCAATGACAATTGTGCAGGTGCTTGCATTATGCATCAGTCATGGCATCTAGGCAATGCCTTCATGGATGACTTGAGCCTGGATCACTTACAGATAAAAGAGGGACCTAGGTGATAGGGTAAACTCACTAGGTGAGCCTGTGAAAACCAGGCGTTCGGAGAGATTACACCTTACATCAATGTTCTAACCTAGATCTCTCGATTGCAAACTAATCCTGGGATCTGGCCTGTGGGGGGCTTTGTGGCTGTTCTTTTTGGATGACAGGACATAAGTAACTACCAGAAGAACAAGGCTTTCGAGTTCCAGCAGGAGAATGCGAAAAACCTGAAGGAAGCCGAGACCCTGCTGAAGGACCTCTTCCTGGATGTGGATAAAGCAAAGAGGCTGAAGCATCCTCAAGCCATCGAAATAGAAAAAGAGTGAGTGGAGAACGCTGCTCTCCTCTGGCTGGGCACAAGGCAGGGATGACCAGGAGTCTGTGAGGTTTTTACTCACGAAAGCTTATGCCCAAATAAATCTGTTAGTCTTTAAGGTGCCACCAGACTCCTTGTTGTTTTTGTAGATACAGACTAACACGGCTACCCCCTGATACTTGATTCCCAAAAGTGCCACCTGATAGCCACACCTATGTTATGTGTGCAGGGACATAGGTATTTAGACATCCGAATCTCCCTGTGTGTGCACAAACGGGCCATGTGAACACACTGCTACTGCGGTAATTGCATGTGCAAATGTGAGTGTATGTGAACAAATAGCATCTAAAAGGGAACATTTCTGAGCCTCCAGTATCCAGACATACAGCAAACCAGCTACAAAGCTGAAAAATGACCACCTGGCATACCATATTGTATTCGTATTAATACCTCATAGCACTGTTCATTCATAGCTCTCAAAGCACTTTGTGAAGGATCATTATCTCCATTTTACAAGGGGAGGCACAGGGAGGCAAAGTGACTTGCCAAAGATTACCCTGAAAAGTCAGTGGCAGAGCCAGGAATAGAAACCAGGTCTCTTGAGTTCCAGAAGAGTGCACTGGCCACTAAGGCTATGCCTACACTGACTATCTTACAATAGTGCCGCGGTAAGGTATGCAGTGTAGCCACCCTCTTTTGGGGGATAGAGCTCTCACCGACAAAATAAAACCACCCCCAATGAGGGGCAGTGGCTTTGTCAGTGGGAGAGAGTCTCCCACTGACAAAGCGCTGTCCACACCAACGAAAGTGCAGTGTAAACATAGCTACCCTGCTTCCCCCCAAAAAACCAATGCAGCCAGTGGGAGGGCCATTTCCCTACTGCAGCACAGAGCTGAGCCCTGGCAAAGAGCACCGTGGGTTAAAGCTATATAGTATAGCAGCAAAACAGCTTGAAGCACCATCGCTTATGTGAATAATAATTTTTATTGCTTTCCTCTCCCCGTCGCCCTCTCCCCTCACTAGAATGAACATCTGAAAGGAAAAATACTCTTTACTCCTTACATTTCGGAGTGATTTAATTTTCCCTCTCGGGAGGGAATAAAGTGCCCCCACTGAGCTCTGCGCAAGCATCAGTGCCTGTGCTCCATTCCCATGCCCCCCTCGGGCTTAGCTCAGGAGAGAAACCCCCTAGCCAGAGAGCATCTCGGCATGTGCCACATGCCACAAGGGTGGTTGGCGGGTCAAGAGGGGAAAGCAGAACATGCTGGGTTCTCTGGGGGAAATCTTGGCTCCACAAAACTCCCTTTGAGTCCCGTGGGGCCAGGATTTTGCCCTGCATTCCGTTGTAGTCACCACAGAGAATTGGCAATGAGATGTGCATCTCTTTCCTCCCTCCCTCACGTACAGCATCAAGCAGCTCCATGACCGTGTGACACACCAATGTGCCGAATATCGAGACCTCTATGAAAAATGTAACATTCCTGAAGCGGGCTCCAAGCTGGACTGGGCCAAAATTCTAGACCAGAAGCAGGTAAAAGTAGCAATTCCAACTGCTTTTTGCGGCAGAAGCATGCTCTGGGAACGTCAGTGCCAGCACTCGTATATCAGCGAGCAAAACAAGGCCGTTAACGTGTCTGAAATTCTATACACACCTACCAACCGCTGCCCTCTCCCTTCAGATTAGCCGTAGCTGTCAAGTCTGACTCCCTCTGGGGGTGGGAAATGGTATTGGTGGTTTTTTCTAACATCCCATGTGCTGGGAGATATTTTTCCATTCTGATGAGTATTCATTGGTGATTTACCGGGCTGATCCTGTTAGTGGGGTGAACAGGCTGCCTCTATAACTGGCATGTGCGTGATGCCCTCAGTGCATATTGTGGCCTTTGCTATATTGCGACGTCTGGGTGTGTGTAGCACCCGCGCTTGAGTTAACTTAGACTAATTTGAAAATGTCCTAGTAGCAGATGGCACTCGCCTTTCATCACCCCCAAGCCCTGTTTGTAGGATGAAGCACAACCATATCAGTTCAGGTTCATAGCCCCAGGGCTTTGGAGCGGAGCCCGGAGCTGAAGCGCGGAGCGGCTCCGGAGCAGTGGAGCTGCAGGTTTTCGCCTGGAGCTGGAGCGGAGCCGGAGCACAGCTCCAAAGCCCTGCATAGCCCAGAAGAACCGGTTCCTGTCTCTTTGGGTATGTCTACACTGCAATTGGACATCCGCGGCTGGCTCGTGCCTGTTGACTTGGGTTAAGGGGTTTGGGCGAAGGGGCTGTTTAACTGCGGTGTAGACACTGGGGTTCGGGCTCCAGCCCGAGCTCTGGGATCCTCCTGCCTTGTAGGCTCCAGCCTGAGCCAGAACAGCTACGCTGCAGCTAAACAGCCCCTTAGCCCAAGCCCCACGTGCCAGTCAGCTGGCACAGGCCAGCTGTGGGTTTTTAACTGCTGTGTTGACCCACCCCCTGTTGGGCAACGGGGCATGAATATCTTCTCTTTGCCCTCTATGCATGTGGACAAATAGCTGAAAGGGATAAAAGTAACCAGACATGCTTAGAAATTGGCCATATGTTCTCTTCCCATTTGAAGGGAGGAGTGAGGGTACTGGCCAGTTTCCTATTCTCAGCACCAAACTGCAGTGGAAAGTTCCCAATGGAACCTTTTGCACTAGCCTCTGGCGGTAGGAAATTAGGGAGGGGTGCGTTCTGTCCCATAGAGAAAACACACGCTCACCACACGGCTCGTTTGTGTGCAGAAGCAAGTCAGCGCGGGACAATATGGCCCCACCGTGCCAGAGCTGGAGAAGCAAATAGCAGAGCACAACATCCTCCAGAAAGAGATAGAAGCCTACGGCCTCCAGATCAAGAACCTCCACAGCCCGGTAAGGTAACCTCCTTCCATCTCCTATCCCATCTCCACTCATGACGCTGGGAGCCCTACGCCCAGTCCTGGTGGGAATCCCAGGGATCCGCCGTCTCCATTGTCATTGTCGGCTCCATTCTGTACCACGCTAACATGGCTTCATTCTTGCATTCACAGCCGCGCACAGGGCTATTGATCATGTCTTTACTGCACAAGTTAGTGTATGGCACTGACTACTCTCCCACAGCCCAGCTGGGCCCAGTGCAAAACCTGGGGTGGATTTTTTGGGGCCAGTCTAGTTCAAAATCCTTGCCTGGAACCTGGAGTGGGTCTCACCAAAATAATGCTCCAGATTATTTGAATTGTCAAGGGGCCACCATGTGCTGAATGTCACGATGAAGAGGGATTTTTTTTTTTAAGCTTTGTTTATTGTTGGCCTTCAGAAGTTCAAGCCTCTCTTCGGTCAACTTTTTGGCCTTTGTTGTCTCTTCTGAGCCCTGTGAGCCCATGAATAGGCACCCCTGGTTGAGAGATAACACCGCTTCATTACCAGAGATTCCTATGGAAGCAATGGGTCCTGGTTACTGTGTGCAGGATCATAGGACACATTTGCTGGGGAGGTAACCAGCATTACTGGATTTTGTGAGAGAGGGGTGCGGTCTGTTGTTTTGAGCACAGGCCTGGGAGCCAGAAATGCCTGTCTGTGTGACTTTGGGCAAATCACTTCACGCCTCAGCTTCCCCATTAGTGAAGTATGAATAACAGTACCCTGCTGAGACAAGGTTTAATGAAGGCCTATAAAGTGGAGTAGAAGTGCTGATGGTCAGCATCTGCTAACCGGTAGCCAAACACTGAAGCTGATTGACCCAGACAGTGGCATGATCCATGTAGCATCTGGGTTTGCTCCATTTGTCCTGAACAGCAGATAACGCGGCCGAGAGTAGGCCTGGAACAGCTCTACAAGGAGAGCTAGAAGGAGGTTTTCATTTGGCGGAGGCAGCAAGACAGCTGCCTCAGCTGGAAGCCAGTCTGTGTACTCTGCACAATGGCTCTGGTACGGTTTTTGAGCAGTTTGCAAATGCATGTGCAAATGTTTATCAAACCCACACATTTACTGACTGCACTGTTTTCCCTCTTCCTTTGACGGGGGCTGGATAACACCACAGAATGCAGCGGATTTAAAGAGCCAGTACAAGGACTTGCTGGTAAGAGTCTTGCTCAGTGTGATGTGCCTTGCAAGATGTGTTGCTTTGTGTCAGCGTTAGGGGAATCGGCTTGGGCTGGTTCTCTGGACATTCCAAGTGGTGGGTGGGTCAGTGCCATGTGGGTGACCCATTTCCCATGGGCAGGGAGGGAATGCAGCAGAGCCTGGGGGCAGAAGCCACTTTGTGTAGCTTCTTAACATCACAGGCCCTGATTTTCCCCTCTCTCTGGGGCAAATCAAGAGTGGCATCATTGGATTCAGATGCACTAGGCCAGTGCACGTGAGGAGAATCAAACCCGTTGTCTTGTCTGTGACCCCACAATCCATTTCTCTGGAGAGGATTAAATTGCCACAAGCAGGGGATTATGGGTATGGTTTGGAAATCTGGAGGACCAAACTCCTGGATCCAAACACCCCTAGACCTTGGGGTGTTCAAAATCCAGATCCAAAGTTGGCAGCATAAGCCTGTCTCTGATTAGGAGCCCGAATGGGGAATAAGCAGCTGGGGGAGTGGAATTTGCAACTGTCCTCCCTAGTTAAAACCAAGGAAGGACAAACAGGGCAAATATACCCCACGGTGGGAACATTTCTCAGCCTCCCCTGAGGCGTCAACATGGCTTCAGATTCTGGTTTGACAAAAACATCCTGTTTGAAAAGAATGAGGGAAGAGGGAATGAAAATTACATCAGATAAGAACTGGTATGGGGCAGCTGTTTGAAAAGGCCTCTGGGGATCTGTTAACAGATGAACAATAACCAAGGGGGGAAGAGACTGGACCCTTCTCAGTCCAGATGCTGACGTCTCCTCTCTTTGATATGAATTGGCAGAAAGCCTCCATCTGGCGAGGGCAGAGCCTGGGCAGTCTGTACAACCACCTGCAAGGCTGCACCAAGGAGCTGGGTTACCTCACGGACCAGCAGAACAAAATCCTGAAGCAGGACTGGAGCGACCAAATGGCTGACCCGCCGGGCGTGCGCCGGGAGTACGAGGTAAATGCTCTGCAGGCCTCTCTGCGTCCAGGAGACGGCGTGTCTCTGTTTAGCAAAATCCTCCTCATTTCAGGTTGGAGGAGGACTCTCTCTAGCTGACCTCTCCAGCTAATTAGCTACTAACCCAAAAGCAACACCACGTCACAGAGAACCTGGGAATGAAAATGTACTTAGGACAAACATGCCTCTGCTTCGTCTCAGCCAGCCCCACGCGTGGCTGTCTCCAGCCTCCTGCCGGCTTTTACACATCGCTTGTTCTTCTCTTTCCCCTGCATGCTTGTGCTTTCATGTGAGCCAGGTGACCGCTATTTCGCACCCTGGCTCCCATTCCTCTGCCACGCTGACTCGGGCAGCCTGACTGTGACCCAGGCATTTATATCCCTTTGCTTCTCCCGCAGAACTTCAAGGCTAATGAGCTGCTTAACCAGGAGGAGTATGTGAACCAGCTCCAGGATGACGGAGACAGGATGATTGAACTGAAGCACCCAGCTGTGGAGCCCATACAGGTAGGGGACCCAGGTTGGAGCCTGCTTTCCTTCCCCCACCCTGCCATACCAAGCTGGCCTCCAGGACACTGTCTCCAAAGTCGTGCACCAAGGAGCTAGGTATTTCAGAGAGAGTCCCTTTGATACAAAGACCCACTGAAGGAAGAGCTGATTTTGCAGAGTTTGTTCTCCCTGCCCCAGACAAAGGTCTGTCTACACAACAAAAGCTGTGCACGGACTAGCCAGCCTGAGCTAGCCTGAATCCAGCTAGTGCAGCTTCAGCCTGGGTAGTATAAGCCCAGCAAAGAGTCTGGGTACGAGCTCGGCTCGCTAGCCTGCTCTGAAGCCCACGCTGCGCTGTCCTCACTCCTATTGTTACCCATGCTAGCTGAATTCAGGCTAGCTCAGGGAGGCTAGCCCATGCACCATTGTTGCTGTATAGACAAACCCTAGATCAGATTCCTGCTTGTTCAGGCCCTTTCAAGTGAGCACTTGATGAAGGGAACTAACCTGTGTGCAAAGTGAATGTAACTTACACCAGCTTGTCAGGATCAAATTTGGCCCCGGGGTAAGCAGGCTCAGCCCCCATTGTTTTCAGTGGGAGTTACCCTTGCTCACACAAGGGTCTGAATTTGATCCCTACAGGGTACCAAGTTGATTTAACTTGCCGTGAAGTCAAAGGGAGCTGCACCTACTTACACCAGGGCTGATTTTAGCCCTGTTAGCATGAGTTAAATCATGTGAGGAGCTGCTTTATCATCCACCCCTTCGATCTGTCAGTCTACCTGTCTCCTCAGCATGTCAGTTACACCAGTATTGCCCTCCCACTGAATAACAAGTCAGTGCAAGTCACCCTTCAGTGCCACTTCCACACACACACGCTCTCTGACCAGCTCACATCTGCTGTGTAAATTGCACCACCACTGCTGATTTGAGGCCCCAAAAATTCTCCTGACTGCATTGGGCCCTACGTTTTCCAGCACTCTGAAAGATCAAACGCAGCAGAAAGTCAATCTGTTTAAAAGGCTAAATCGGGGATAGTCAGCCTTCAGTCATGAATGCTGTCTCAGCAGCTGCTCCCTTCCAGAGCAAGGGAAGGGAACAGACCTGTTGCACCAGTATGGTATGGTCTGGGGGGTTGGTTTTGTTTCTTATGGAGCAGGTTTTTCCTGTGGCTGTGCGACTGAGAACACAGTTCTGGCTGTCTCTGGAAGAGTCTCTTTATAAAAGTTGGATCTGCTGCAATCTAAGGGTTGAGTTTTTCTGCATAAGAGAGACAGTCTGTAAAAAACAAGTCCATCTTGAAAAGGTGAAAAAGGCCAGGTAACCGAATCTGGGTTTCAGCCTCCCCCATCTGAACCCAATCAAGGCCATAAGAGAAGAGGAAGTCCTTTCCCTGCTCCATGAATCAGGGAAACAAGAGTTGCTAGACTGGTTGAAGTGGGGTCACAAGGTCCTCTTGACCTCTCACCCTTCCGTTAGAGCTGCCATCTTCCCCTCATGGAAATCCCTTTTCCTCCCTCCATGTGTATCATTCAACACTTGCATCACAGCATCTCCTCCAGGGCTGAGAGTATTGACAGACTGTTCCAAACCAACGGGAATCTGAGAGCAATACACACTGCTTGCATCCCATTGGAAATCATATAAATATGATGCTCTCAGCCTTCAACCAGTCCTGAAAGAAGCAATGCCCTCAAGCACTAGAGATGACGCTCATTTGAAGGGCCGTATTTTTTCAGAGATGACCTCAGTGCTGCAGGTACGGTTATGCACCTGCAATTAAATATGAGTGCAAATCTGCATCCACAATACTGGAGTCAGAGTTGAGGCCCTTTTAGAAACGGGGGCCTAAAAATGTCAGGTGGATGTTCACTGTCTCTTGCAGGATCATGCTATGGTTCTGAATGTTCTTTCCCTGCCGTCTCTCTTCGGGCTCAGCAGCAGTTGCTAGGTGCTGCTGTGATCTCTGGGACTTGAGGAGATGCAGAGAGGAAACACAAGGGTTGGGGGAGTTAAGGCTAGAAAGACACATGTTAGAACTGCTTCTGTCCCACTGCAGGCTCACCAGGAAGCCTTGAGGAACGAGTGGCAGAATTTCCTCAACCTCTGCATCTGCCAGGAGAGTCAGCTGAAGAGCGTGGAGAGCTACAAGAAGGTAAAATGAGTCCAGCAGAGGGCACGACGACTTGCCACAGGGAACTTTTTTGCAAGGGTGGGTGCAAAATTTGTCATCTGGTGGGGATCACACTCCGCCCCGGGGGCAAGCAGGTTCAGCCCCCATTGGCCTTGGACTCCAAGTCATGCCGTGAGTCTGCTGGATGATGGGAAAGTATGGGGAGCCCTGGCTTCCATCTGGTCTGGGTCAAAGTTCAACATCCCACTGGAATGCGCTGCTGAGGATATGCAGAGGTGTGAGCCACTGTGTTACCTCTTTGCCTCAGCAAGAGAGATTTGCTGGAGATCAGCTCCCTGCCACACCAGCCTGTCTGCCTCACCAGCCAACTCCTCAAACTCTCCCTGCCCAAACCTCGCCTAGCAGCACAGGCACTGACTTTCAGCTTTCTCCAGGGGTGCTCCGCCCCCAGACCCCACCCCCATTCTGCCCCACCCTCGCTCCACCCCCCCTCCGAGGCCTCTCCCCCACCTTGCCCTCACTCCACCTCTTCCCACTCCTCTCCTCCCCCCCCCCCCCCCCCCCCCCCCCCAGCCCCTCCTGCCTGCTGCTGAACAGCTGATCGGCGGCAGCGGGTGGGA